ACTCCCACAAAGGAGGCCACACCCACAGAGTAGGTTCCAACAATTTTTGAAACCCACCACTGCTGTCCTCCCTCTTTAAAGTTACCACATGGTTCTTTCCCCCCCCATATTCAACCCTTTGACTGAATACCAAATCTATACATGAGTTCATTTTTTCCATTTTCAGCTAAAAGTAGTTGCCAATCTTTTATAAAAGCACTTGTTATCTGTGACCAAACAAGTCAATTTTGCCATGTTTGCATTGTTAGTCTGTGCGGTGATTCCATCTTCAACTTATCCGTAACTTGGACAATTTTCTGTGTGCCTTCCATAATCTATAATCAGCCTTATGTTTGGCAAAATTTCCACTTTTAACCAAATTCAATCCAACCGTTTTTATTGCACGATAGGCCATACTTCGGTCTTCTTTGATATTATGCTATCCAGATAGAGTAAATTAGAAAAGAATTAATTTTCAAGTAATTAAGGCCTTGCCTTTAGCTCATTGCATTTATACCCTCCGGCTCTTTTGTCAGCCTCTCCTCACCCAAATGTCTCATTTCACCTACTATTTATATCCCCATCTCCTGCTTTAGATACAAGCATAGCATGTATGTGAATAAGAAACATGTAGTGTATCTGGCAGCAAGGGAAAGACTTTGTAGGAGAAATGTATGCTCATTTTTCATTGGTTGTTTTTTTTGTGTGTGTCCTTCCATGTTTGCACACCTTTCTCTGCCCAGGTTGTTCTTATGTGCTTCCTTGAAATAATTGGGGAACTTTGGGGATGAGTCTCTCTTTCATTAAAATATCTCTCCACATTGGACCTCTCTGATTTCTTTCTTTACAGGTAGAAGGTGGTGAGGAAGAGGAGGAGGAGGAGGCTGTAGAAGAAGGCAAAGAAGGAGCAGGTAAAAAATGGGATTCTAGTACTGTGATCAAGTCATAAAGACTGTAGCTCCTACACAAGGGTGGGGGTTGTTTGTAGGTGAGCATTGCATTCTCTTATTGATAGTCTATTGGGAGCCGTGTGGTAGGCAGGTTGAAGAAAGAAGTTGAAAGGGTCACGACTGAAGTCCCTGGAGATATTCACTCTCTCATTCTCTCCTCTTTCTCTCTGAAATCTTATTTTCTCTCTTCCAAGCCAAGTAATTCAGGGGAAGAACAGATTACCTCTTCATAGAGACTTGAACTGACCTTTTGCAATGGGCTTTTGCAATTAGACTTCAGCCAGATTGCTCCAATGGTGGCATATGACTCTGGGACCATGGGTGTCAAACTCGCGGTGTCATGTTGCCGTCCCATGACGTTTCGGGACTTTTTTCCCTTTGCGGAGCTTGGGTGGGCGTAGCCTGTGCATGAAGCATTCGGCCTGAGGGCTGCCAGTTAGACAACCCTGTACTAAACTGAAACAAAGAGCTATTTATGTTTTCCAGAGAGGGAACTTGAAAAAATCTTTAGTTTTTCAGTTTTTCTGGGTTATTTAGAGCCGAGGTGGCGCAGTGGTTAGGGTGCAGTACTGCAGGCCACTTCAGCTGACTGCTATCTGCAGTTCAGCCATTCTAATCTCACCGGCTCAAGGTTGACTCAGCCTTCCATCCTTCC